GCCACTGCAATGTGAATAAAGCCACAGAGCAGACTAGGAAAGAAGGGAGCGGGTCTAACAGAGATGAGGTAAGCAATAGCAGAAGGCCCTCAGTAGTGTTACAGTTAAAGGGAGAGTCAGAAGAGAAGCATTGAGCAAGAGCTGTAGACTGCCATTCACCCAGCAAACAGCTGCTCTGGATGAGGATGCTATTACCCTACACTATTTATCCTACTTCTGTGGGAAGTTGCTCCTTCCAAGGTAGATAGGTGAATGCCTGCTGTCCTGTTTGTGGACCAAGCCATCAGGGTTACAGTTTAAATACATGCTTGTTTGATATTTGTTTGATGTGTTTTGGTAGTGCTTATATAAACAGCTCCGCTGGCAGAATGGTGAAGGTAGCAGCTCTCTTCCTACCAACAGGGTTGGAATAGAACAGTTGTCTGCCACCCTGCTATGATGGGTTAATGGAGTAAAAAATAATATGGAGAGATAATTGGGATAAACTTGAAATAAAAGCAACAAAGCACTCTTGCACGCTTTCAGCCTCCCATTTACTGGCAAAGCATTGGCTAATGTAAAGGAATAAAAGCATCTAAATTTTTTATCTGTCAAGACTTGGCTGTCTTGACATCTGTAGAGAGAAACTTGATGTGAACAGCTTAGAGCTGTGGAGATACAGTTCCATTTGGGAGATGGAAGAAACAGCAGAGCAGCTTTTGTAGAATCTGGTTATTGATCTGGGCCCCATTACGTTTGGGCTGATGTCTAATGTTATAGTATGCTAATGCACAGTAATGGAGTGTCATTTGCAGAGGAAAAAGTTAGCACTCATGATACCGTCTCTAACTTCAACTGGGGAAAATAAAATGCTCAGGACTGAAAACATCTCTAAAGAGGAAGAAGGAAACAAGAAACTCCAGGTGTATTTCCTACTCAGTGTGTTGCGTATTGATCAAAATCCTCATAAAGGCATTTGCTGTAATATGCAAAGAGAAACTGTCTTTGTAAAGGCTTTTTTGTTGTGTAAAGTCAGATGTTCTTTACCCTTGGAAACATAATTCTCTGGAATTTGGCAGTGGGTTGGGAATTGAGAGCAGTGCCAGTTACAGTCCTGTGGATTTGCATCTCTTATGCTGCATTTCAACATACGAGCGTAGCTGCAGAGGGAACAGTTTTGTAAGTCCAGTTTACAAACTTTGTCCACTCAGGGGTATTCCTTCTGCCTTTGAAGCATGGAATTGCACTTTGTGCTACTTCAGCATTGAGAAAACTTTAGCATTCTGAGCAGTCTCAAAGGTGAGAGATGTGAATAATAATATCCAGCAGCAGCTTCAGAATGTTTTAGAGTAGCACGCTTTGAGTGGTGTTTCAGAAGGCAATATTGAACTTTCCTGGAATTAGTGGTACTTAATCTTTAGAAAACAAAATATTCACTGTCTTGAGCTTGGTTCTATGTTTGTTTAAAGGTTTGAGGGCACTAGTTTAATGGGATTAATTTTAACTACAGGAGGCCTTTTTATTACTTACTATGTCTGTGTAAGATATGTGCTCTCTGAGGCAGCTAATGAGAGTCTACAACGAGCAGGAAACTAGCAGTTAGTGACTGATTGGAAGATACTGTTTGTTCTCTTAGCCTTAACAATACTAAGAACGTGCTTGTTTGGCATGTGAATAACAGAGTTTGCAGCGAGCCATGAGGTTCACCAGAAATGCTGGTGAACTGCTGCAGTGGAAGTGATGTGGTGTTTCAAGTTTCTAATCTGTTTCTGTGTCTAAGGTGAAGCAGTGGCCGTAGAAGGTACTGATATAACAGTATAAATGGTTGTTGGGAATGATAATGAACAGTATCGGTGTTTACCAGCAAGTGTTGTCTAATCTGACAGTTGAACTGTCTTTCTGCAGTTCCTTCCATTGAGTTCAAGTCCTGAACCCATATGTGTCTTCCAGGATATCCTGGAACTGTAGTGTGTTTGTCTTATGGAGCATGTCAAAGTGACATTCAAAAAGGTGTTCAGTTTTAAAAGCTGCCTTTACACAGGCAGGTTTTTTCCTGCAGTGTTTCATTGTGCAGCTTCGTTGATCAGAAGAGTGGTGGGAGTGCTGGGCATGGTGCTGCTGGGGTGGTTTTCTCACTTCTGTTTTGTGTTGAGAACAACTGTGTTAAGATGCTAAGGAAAAAAAAAAAGTAGATCTCCAAGTAGACCATGGAGAAGTGTCATTGTAGAAGGCTGAGAGATCTGACCAGCAGCATGCCTGTTGCTGTAATGATGGTCAGGAAGGGGTGAAACGAGCTGGCCTGTAGTCTGTCTCTGTGGAGCCCAGTAGGTCTTGCAAATGTTGAAGTGATTCAGTGCTCATTAAATGTTTGCTGATAGTTCTGCATGGCTGTTACTTTGGTGCTGCCTTCTGACCTGAAACTGCTAAAGTATTTTGCATAATTTAAAAAGGAGGCAATGTTCAGCCGTGAAGCCCTGTTATTAGTGCTGAGCGATAATCCAGACCTTTAGAACCAAGGTGTGAATGAGTTTCTGAATCTCGTAAATTTTGCAAACAGCAGCAGAACTTCCAGGGTGTTAAGGAATGGTGATCAGAAGACTTTGAAGGCTTTGAAAAACACACATTGTGACTCCATTGTAAAATCAAATAATTGATAAATTGCAGATGCCTTTTAAGTTGTCCTTCTAAAAGGACAATAAGGTGCCTTCTGTAGGAGTTTGGGGTTAGAAAAAAATTAGAATATGAACCCTAAATTTTACTCAGTGAAGCACATCTTTAAAGGAAGATAGTTAAACTAAAACACTAAACTGTGAAGCTGAGTGATAAATGAAGGTATTCTGGCAGCAACAGCTGAGTTCACTTCTGTGAAATTCACTTCTGTAGTGCTCCCTTGCAAGGCTTGCTGCAGACTTACTTTTTAATAAATATTTATACACCACTGGGCAGTGACTTTGAAGTGCTTTTTTCTGAGTGACTGCAGTCACATAGTTAATGTCAGCAATGCATTGAGCAGTCTGAATCTGTACAGCAGAATGAAACAATGATTTTTGCCCAGTATATTGGGGAGAAGGTAAAGATCTGTGCAGACTTCATGAGAAGGAAGCCAAGCAACATTCAAAAGTTTCAACTGAACCCAGAGATTGAATAGAGCATGTGTCCACAGTTTGACTTGAGTGGAAATAGCATGTGGAATGTATGAATGGGGGCAGGGAAGGCAATAGATGTGCCATCCTTCTCCAGTAAAAACCCAATTCAGTGCATTCTTAAATGGTCAGCTTGTCATGACTGCCTCAGGGTAGTCTTTTAAATGAAGCAAGAAATGGCGGAGATGACATGCAGAATTAAATAGAATTGTTAACAATGGATTAGATCACAAGGTGTAATAGAGAATGTGCGCAAGGATTTATATCAAGTCACTGCTCTGTTTTTGCAATCATCACAAGCTGCCCCCTGCAGAAAAGCTGTGCTCTCCTGCATGGTGGACATGGAGAGCAAAGGTTCCCTGCTCTCTGCCAAACTCCTGCACTGCTGAGATCTTCCCGAGTGCTGCAGAGAACAGTGTGTGGAACTGGCAGGCAGAAGACAGGCCATGCTCTTGTGTAGTTCAGCTCACACAACCTCTGTGGGTCAGCAGGCTCCATCTGTCACAGCATGTAGTGTTCCAGTGGGAAAGCAGCCTGGTTCACTCTGGGCTCAGTCCCTAAGCCACTGAGGGACGTGCACCCTCTGTAGTGTTACACCAGCTGGCCAAGGTGTCTGGAGAGAAATCCACCAGGTGAGAACATGAAGCCTTAAGAGTCAGTGGAGTTCTTTTGTCAAGAATGACCTTGCTGGAGAAATGGTCATATTTCAACAGTTTTCTTAGAGCACCAGCATGTTTTTATGTTGAGTTTGTTACACTGCTTATGACAATTACTGTCATTGCTTCTGCCATCTTGTATTCAAGTTAAATATTTGTTTTCTTGGCTTTCTGAAGCCCAGTTATCTTAAAAAAAAAAACAAAAAAAAAAACAACAAAACCAAACTTTTTACTCCTTTTAAAATAACAGTTGTTTCCTCTAAAATTGCCAGCATTGTTAATGGTGTCACCTGTAATGTTAGTTCACTTACTGTTTCAAAGGATTGTTAAAAGGGTAGCTGCAGCATGCTTGTGGCTTTATGCTTTCCTATGAAAGTGTGTGCTTTGGTTCTGTGGTGATAGGTGCAGTGTACAACCCTGAAATGTCTGTTCAAACACCTTGCAGTGCATGGTGTGGGGAGAGATGTGTTTCTCTGGCACAGTGGCAGGGATGTTCACTTCAGCAAAGATTTGTCTCCGTTCAAGAGGTGCTTGCCATGGCTTCCTGTAATAACAAATACTGTTGCTTGATCTCTTGTGCAGAAGTTCTGACTGGCACAGGGTTAAAATATGTGTTTCCAAACATTGTTGAGAGTCTAGTGGCTTTGAGATCTGCCAGTGTGTTTGGACTATGTTTTCTGTTTTGAGTCCTGTTTGTGTTGGACTGGATTATTTTTTTACCATAGAATCCCTCATGATGCTGGAAAACACTACCTTCATTAGTGCCTGGCTCATTTTGGTTTCAGTATCTATTTGTATTTGCAGTGAGTGAAGTAATGGTCATCTCAGGTTTTCAGAAATGTTTTGCCTGTTTAAGCTGATGCTTTGAGGTGACATTTGAGGGCATTGGCCTGGCATATCCTTCCAGAGTGAAACTTGTGGGCAACATTGTTAGACTCTTGTCTGGACTTGAGTGCAGCTGTAGTAACAGACCTTGGACACAGCTGAGAACTGGCTAATGCTGAAGGAGTGCAAAGGCCCTGTTTGATGCCTTCTGTGTGTTTACAAATTTGCGTTGGCTCAGGTTGCTCTGCTCTTAAACTGAGAGCAGAGCATTTTAAAGAAAGAGTATTGTGGCAATGTGTTGTGGTAAGTCCTCTCTGTGCTGACATGTTGCAAAGAACAGTAAAAAATACAGCACTTCCCTGGCACTTACCTACTTTTATCCTCCTTCTTTAGGATTTGACAGGCATAGAGTCCATGGACCAATGTCGTCACACATTGGAGCAGCACAACTGGAACATAGAGGTACCACTGCAAATAAGATTTGTAGCTGTTGACAAGTACCTAGATTAAATGGAGTACTCTGTGGGGAGGGGGGGCCCTACCAATAAGATTTAATCTGTCAGCCCCTGAATTTACACTAGTAGCTCTATGACAGTACCTTGATACACCTGGAGAGCTGGTTTCAGAAGTACACAGCAGAGTTATTACTGCTGCGAGCAATGACTTGACTGGCACATTGTGTAACTTCCTGTAGTGCATGTGTGCTGGCTTTCCATTCAGAAGAGAATATTGGTGGTTATGGTTTGTAATGAGTTGTGCTTATCCAGTGCTCTGGGACTGTGGACAAATAATACTTACTGTTAGGTGTCCAAAGTATGAAAAAGATATTTTCTGCCATCCTTAAGTGTCTGAAACCTCCCTTTACTCTTTCTTGTGTCAAAGGCAGCTGTACAGGACCGACTGAATGAGCAAGAGGGTGTCCCAAGTGTCTTTAATCCTCCTCCATCGCGGCCATTGCAGGTCAATACAGCTGACCACAGGATCTACAGCTACGTTGTCTCAAGGCCACAGCCAAGGGCAAGTTATCTTACAGTGGATTGTCCTGCTTCTTGGGTGATTTTTTGTGAACAACAGAACTTGCAAGCAGGGAAGGGAGTTGTTTTCTTTGTATGCTGTTATCTCCTTCCTAAATATTTTATCTTCTGAAAACAAAATGTAGAGCTGTTCCTTTGTCCTCTATTATTACTGTGGGATTTTTCTCCATGGTGTGGTTCACAGTATGAGATGACCTTCTTCGTGTCAGAATGTTTTGCTGTGCCATAATAAAGCTGTTTGATCAGTTCAGTTGGATCAAAGGACTGTCCCCTCCCTATGGCAGAGTGATAATATTTTTTGCTTTTTAGAGCCCCCCCCAAAGTGTATTATCTTGAATACAGTATTAATGACCTGCTTTAATGTTTCACAAAGAAATTTGCATGAGCACCTGTAAGACTCAGTGCTGTTAATCCTTTTGTACAGTTAAGAAAATTAGCACAAGTGGCAAAAATTGCTGCTTGAATAGTCAGTGACGCTATTTTTCAGATGTGTCATACTGAATTCCGAATGAACCATGTTAGTCACTTACATTTGATTTGACGTGTCCAAAGCCATGAAATGTTGCTGAGCTCTTTTGCAGTGGTTAGAGCGCTGATTCTCCCATGTGTACCAGTATACTTGATGCTGGTGGACCCTTTGCTTGAGCAGGCTTGTTCCTGGGGTGGAGACTGTTCTAATTCTTTGTTTGTAATTGCAGGGCCTGTTAGGATGGGGTTACTACTTCATAATGCTTCCATTCCGATTTACCTATTACACATTACTTGATATATTTAGGTAAGTACTGTTTTGTGCTGACTCATGTATTGACTGCATCAAGGCACACTCTAGCTTAGATTTGGCTGTATCTCTGTCACTTGGATCTTTAATGGTAGATTTTCTATTTATTTGCTCCACTGTCTTTATCTGTAGCCTTGTAAAGTTCCTACACTGTTTAGTAAGAAATAAATCTTATTGCAGAGAAAAAGAGCATCTTGCAGCTCTGTAAATGAAATAATAAAGTGGATTTACAGTTTGACTGCCATGCAAAGGGGATGCAAAACAGCATCAAACTGTCCAGTATTCTTGGTCAAACAACTAGATCAGAATCACGTCCTATTGAGCTGGGCTGTGGGTTAACCTGCCCTAATCCTTGTATGATACTTGGCAAAACACAAACTGTAAACACCTCCTGCGTTTTCCCCTTTGTTGCCTCTTCTCCCTTTACTCCCTTGAAGGGCTAGTTCATCTTGCTTCCTTACGGCATTGGTGGAAAAAGGAATGTTGAAAGGTGGTAAATATCCAGCAGTCCTGCTATTTGTGGTGTTTTGGCAGTTCCCCTGTTTTATTACTTCCCCCCCACAAAGACTTTTCCAAAGTTCAGTGTAACTTCTATGCATCAATAGAACCAAACAACTTTGATATCTGCCTTGCAGTTAAGCTTTTTCAGGCTCAGAGCAATTACTTTCTTCTGTCTTCACTGGCTTCCTAGTGTAATGTTCTCTTCTGCAGCTCTTTGCACTCCAGAATTGTTAGTCTTGGAATAGTAGAAATGCTGTTTTCAAAGTTATCTGGACAAAACTGTGTGGCTTTTAACAGCCTGTCTTTGACTAAATTCTTCAAACCTCATACTGTTGGTGTGGCATATGCCTGATGCTTCAGAGGAAGTTGAAACTGTTAATCAGAATTCAGATATTTGTTGGTGCCTGGCATGAGATAATATTTGATGGGGGAGTTTCTGTAGCAATGGTATCAGTTTGGAGCAGGTGGCAGTTTAGGTTGTGATTATATTTTTTCAAGGGTTTCAGCTGTGACTTTTTTCCCTCCTTATAAATACCAGTGACTGTCTGGACCTGTTCTTCAGAAAGTCAGTAAGCTGAATTTCCAGTGTCCTTTGCTTCCTTCCTAGGTTTGCTCTGCGTTTTATACGCCCCGATCCTCGTAGTCGGGTCACTGACCCAGTGGGTGACATTATTTCGTTTATTCATATGTTTGAGGAAAAATATGGGAGGATACACCCTGTCTTCTACCAGGGAACTTACAGCCAGGTCAGTGTCGCATGTTGGTGCATAGATCCTGGGGATATGGAGAGTGGGGATTTTGCCAGATGGTATCGGGGCCCACATGGCAAAATCACTTGTCATTTAAAAGCCCAGCGTTTGTCCCCAAACTCTCTAACAGTGTAATGGAGAGCTAGTGAAGAAGTGTATTGGAAAACCAGTATCTGCCAGGCTTGATGATATGCCAAGGCTGCAAAGTTGGAAAGCAAAGCTGCTCTGACTGTTCCTCGACTGTCTGTATGGCTCTGTAGCCAACAGCTATTCTTTGTAATCCTGCCTTTGTTTTTATAAACTGATGTGGTATGCCAGAGGCTGTCCTTCTGTTCACCAAATTGGGATTAACTGCTTGGGCTTGTATTACAATGCAACACCAGAACATGGTGTGGGACCTCAACATTGAGGGAGCCCCTGAAGAAATTATGTGAGACAAGGGTTCCATATGTTAGATCTGGGCCAATGGTATGCTCTCTGTAAAAGAGGGATGTCCCAACGGGTACTGCCTCTTCTGCAGCTTTTCAGCCTAGCTAAGGGAGGGTCTCCAGTAGTGTGTCCCAGCTGACAGTTGGATCAGTGCTGCTTCCCAAGTGCCAGAGAAGAATGTGGAGTCTGAATCTGCTCCATGCTGCACAGCAATGGAGCTTGCTGCCTCTGCAGTTCTAGGCCCCTCTGTCTTGCCTGGAATCCAAACTTAAATAACCACGGAATGGCTAGGCTACCAAAGCTCAGTGCCAGTAAAACAGGGAGCCTATTGTGCGCTTATCCTGTGGTCTTGTTAAGAAATGCTCTTGGGTGGGTGGAATCCAGAGACTGTAGATGCAAAAAGGTTTTTTGTGGTGTTTTTTTGTTTTGTTGAGGCCTGCAGCATTATTGAGTTATCTCTTTTAGTAGTGTTTTCATTTGATGTAGTCTGAAGATTGTGTCCTGTATAGGCTAGAGTGGAAAATCCAGCCTTTGCTGCTCCGAGTCTGAGGGATGAAGGAGGGTTCTTCACTGCCAGCTGAGTCTGGTGGGGCGATGGGGGTATCAATCCATGCAGTTGCCTACCTGTGTTTGCTCAGAGTTCAGTGTTCTCCAAAGCCACATCCTGAAAAGGGTATGAAAGAACGCCATTTTAGCCCCCTTAAATGAGGGTTTAGTCAGAAGGTCTGACAGGTTCATTCTCCACTGCTGCTTCATTAAAACCACGCTAGTGGCAGAGTAATGGCCCTGGTGAATGTTGCTGAGCTGTGTCACAGAAGTCTTGTGGGTGTTGCTTTCCCCTGCATAGAGACCCTGTAACTTTACCCCCTCTGCTCTTACACCAAGGCACTGAATGATGCCAAGCGGGAGCTGCGCTTCCTGTTGGTTTATCTTCATGGAGATGACCACCAAGACACAGATGAATTCTGCCGGTAGGTAGGAGAGTTTTCCAAATAGTTATCTTTGCACTTTAAATGCGGCTTCATTAATGTTATCTCTTCTCATCCCCTAGCAATACACTGTGTGTACCTGAGGTGATCACCCTCATAAACACTAGAATGCTCTTCTGGGCTTGCTCAACCAATAAACCAGAGGGATACAGAGGTGAGTGTGTCCCTCCTGAGCTTTATCTATCCTCTCCTAGAACAAGCCAAATGTTGACAAATTTAAGCGTTTGAAACACACTGTTGGGTTTTGTGCAAATAGACAAGAGATTTTTAGGATTGCATGGGGAAATACGTGTTGGTTTTTATGTGGTATCTCAGAAGGCCTGTTTGGGTGCCAGGGAAGTACATTCTATTCTTAACATCCACTGCTCCATGCTTCTGGGCAGTCCTGCTTGTATGCTTTTTGCTGTGGATATTCAGGCTGTTTTCAGTGCCTTGTTAATGGGAGTTGATGGGTGTGTGCTGAGGATTAAACTGAGTGCAGAAACAAGTATCTAACTAGCTGTGCCCTTAACACTGGTTCGTGTTATGCCTGAGGCCAGGAGCAACTTGTTAGGTGCATTCTTTCCCCGAGACAGTCCTCTCTTGCTCCACACCCAGTTTCTCTTTCTCCTTGAAAGTCCACAGTGAGGGCCTCTTAAGTACTGTCTTTCCAGAGCTGTTGATACCTGGCCTGCCAGCATTTTGGTAGAGTTTTGCTGCAAGTGGAGCCTTCTCCCAAAGTTCCGTTCATGCCTCCTGTGTCCCTTCAGAGCCTTCCTGTTTCATGGTGAGAGAGTCCAGGAGTTCTGGTTCTAAATCTGGGTCATTCTTGGCTACATAGTTCCAACTACCAGCTATTCACACCTTAAATGTCTCTTAGAAAGCCATTCTTTCTGCTTATTGCTGTTTTATTGCTGCAGTGCTTTGGAGTCACAGCCTAGAAAGCAGAGCTGGAAGGGATCATGGCCTTTCATTTAATCCACGGGGTGCTCTGATGTAGTTTGAAGGGCTCCATTGATAATGACAGCCCCAAGTCGTGTGGTGTGCCTTGCGTGTTTTGAGGAGGAGGTGTTCAGCAGTCATAGATGAACAGTAACTTAAAAGCCCCTGATTCGCTTCATTCCCTGCCTCAAGACAGAGCATGCTTCTGGCAGAAACAGTGTAATTTTGTGCTGAAATGTCCAGGATGGACGCTCTGCTGTCTTCCCCATGACAGTATTGTCCAGAGTCTGGCCATCCTTAATGTTAGCGAGTGTTTCTCTGGGGTTAACCTGTTTAAACCCAAGATTCTTTGTCCCATTTTGACTCGACATTCAGAGCAATTTACTTCTTGCTTAATTAAAGAACTTTTTTGGTTATTTGAAAGCTTGGGGGTTTTCCCCTCAGTCTCTATGCTCAATGCCACTTCCTCCCTTTGCTAATTTGTAGGGTTTGGTTTGACAAAATGGAGCTTGAGGCCTTTTCTGCCTTGGAATAGATAGTGGCTGTGGAAGCTGCTTTCCCAGGCCCTTGATGATGGAAAGCATTTGTGCTGTACCCCTTGCTGACCCTTCTGGATGGGGCAGTTATGGTCATGTTTGTGCCTGTTTCCCAGTCTCCCAAGCTCTGCGAGAGAACACGTACCCATTCTTGGCTGTGATTATGCTGAAGGATCGCAGAATGACAGTAGTTGGGCGGCTAGAAGGCCTCATCCAGGCTGATGACCTCATCAATCAACTGATGTTCATCATGGATGCCAACCAGACATACCTGGTGTCCGAACGTCTGGAAAGGTATGAAGGCGCCTGAGCTCCATTAATGCAGACCCTGTGGAGGCAGGTTCTGCTGTGCCCCCTTCCTCCCTCTGGGCACCATATGTAGGCAGGCAGGTCAACTTCTCCTGTTCTGTAACACATTCCTCTTCCCATGGCATCATTGCTCCATAAATTCAGGCCACCCTGTAGTTGGGGAGCTGGCTGTGTTGCCCATACAGGCCTGCTGCTGAAAGGTGGGTGTGAGTGCTCTGCTGTTTTCTGTACATGGAGCACACCCTTAGTATGCTGGAGGTAAAGCTTGGACAACAACCAGTGGGAGCAAAGGCATTGCAGGCAGGAGGAGAGGTGTCTGCAGCCAGTCAGTGAGCGAGTGCTGCTGTGCCTGGGCTGGCTGTCCCAAATTCTGAATGTGTTGGTGGTAGTGCCTTGAGAGCATGAGCTCTAGCCCCTGGTAACTCTGTAGGGATTTGCAGGCTGTGTCCAAAGTAGGATGTTGTCTGTCTGCCCCATGGTCTCTGTGGGAACCCAGTAATGCATCTTGATGCCTCTGACTTCTAAAATGTTCAAGGACTTATCTGAGGGAAATATAACTGTGAAGAGCCTCAAATAGGAGGCAGAAATTCCAGACACTGCTTAGTGCTGTCTGTCCACTCTGTCAAGCTGCATTGGGTGAGAAGTCTGTGTTCAGTTTGTTTCCACACAACCTAGGGAAACAGTTTGTGTGGTAGGGACTGTGGAGACTCACCTTGCCTTTTTAGGAGCTCATGGTACTCTAAATGAGGCATTACCTGATGTGTGTGCTCCTGCAAGTCTGCGGTTGTTCCTGCACCCGCGGGTCTGCCATCATCCTGCCATACCTTCGCTTTGGGGCCTGCTAGCCCTGACTGCTCCCTGCTCATGTTTGCAGGGAAGAGAGGAACCAAACCCAAGTTCTGAGGCAGCAGCAGGATGAGGCATATCTGGCATCCTTGCGTGCGGACCAGGAAAAGGAGCGCAAGAAGAAGGAGGAACGGGAGAGGAAGAAGAAGAAGGAGGAGGAAGTGCAGCAGCAAAAACTAGCAGAGGAGAGGCGGCGACAGGTGAGAGCAAACTGACGATTGGAGGGGCTTCTGTGCCCTGTTGGACACTCACGTTGCATAGAAGCAGTACCTGCAGTAGGGCTTTTCTGTCAGATTGGGGCTGTCTGTCTTGCTTGGGGCTTGAGTGTCCTCCAGACCTCCTGGAGCAGCTGTGCTGTGAGGGATGAGCATAAAGGTCAGTTCAGTGCATGCCCATTGTTCCTGTTCCCTCCTTACTTTGCAGACACTGCAGGAGGAGAAGGAGCGGAAGTCTGAATGCCTTCCTCCCGAACCACATCCCGATGACCCAGAGAGTGTTAAGATAATTTTCAAGCTGCCTAATGATTCCAGAGTGGAGCGGCGATTCCACTTCACACAGTCATTGACGGTGAGCTTGGGGCAGAGCTTTTACTCTAGGAAGCCCAGAGTAAAAGAGGTTCAAGAGATTCTCCAGGTGGCTCAGCAAAGCTTTGGTTCCATTGGACTTTGCCAAACGGTGACCTTTGAAGAGCCTTAGCAGGCAGAGTTGTTCCTGGGTAAGAAAGAGGGGGTCTTGGGGCCTGTTCTCACCAGCTTAGAGATTAGAGAACAAAAATGGAAGAAACTCTTTTCTCCTGAAAAGCTGAGGCTCTTGTTGCTCCCTGTTAAATAAGGGTATAGGACGAGCTAGAAACAGTGTCTGGACTCCCCAGGTGCTCTGTGACAAGTCCAGTTTCATGCATGCTATGAAAATGGCTGTCTTGCATCTACAACACAGTGATGGTGTGAATTTGGTAACCTTCCCCTGATGAGATGCCATGGCTGCAGTCTGGCTGTGTCACTGCTCCCCCAGCTGGCAGTTATTTCTGTGCTTCTCTTCCAGGTGATCCATGACTTCTTGTTTTCCTTGAAAGAAAGCCCTGAAAAGTTCCAGATTGAGGCCAACTTCCCTCGCCGTGTCCTGCCCTGCCTCCCTACAGAGGAGTGGCCCAACCCACCCACGCTGCAGGAGGCCGGACTCAGCCACACGGAAGTCCTCTTTGTGCAGGACCTCACGGACGATTGACACTTTTCCAGAAGACACAAAATGGAAAGAGAAATTCATATTATTATTATAATACAATATTTTTTTTAAAAGACTGCGTACAAATGAGGGATCAGAGACCACATTGCCTGTGCCAGCTGTGCTGTGTGTGTGCACTGGCAAGAGGAAGTGTGTGCACATCCTCACACACCTGTGTACACAGCCATCCCCTACACTTGGAGGGCAGAGAGGGAGGGGAGCTGGTGTTGCCCCTCCACCCTCCCTGGGGAGGAACAGGAATGGCAGCTCTTGGTAATTATTGCTTTTATTGACAACAATAATAATAAAACCCCAACAACCTGACATCTTGTGAAGATTTGATACTCTGCTGCTCCTGATGGCTGGAAGACCGGGCACCTGAATGTGCTGGGAGTGGGAGGGAAGGGCTGGATAGAATCTCTTCAGCTTCCCTCTGTGTATAAATATCTTTCTTTTAATAGTTCTCTTGCTTTGTAATGACCAAAGGAGAATGGGGTTGACTATAGTATTAACTTTTTGATAAAGAGCTGGTTTGATTCTTACCCGTGTGGGGTCTTGCCCAGGGTTCTTAGCCTGTGTAGTGTAATAAACTCTGCCTCTAGCATGTCTGTGCTAATGCTTTCTGCCTGTGCCCCCTACTGTGACCCAGCACTGGGGAGGGGATTCCAGCTGCTGTGGATTTACAGTAACTTGCTGCTCATGGCACTGTGGGTACAATTAACTTCTGGCCTCATGTGAGGCCAGCTCTTTGAATTGGTCATTTTGTGCCAGTGGAGCCACTGGTGTAAAGCAAACAGGACTGTGCACGCTATGGGGGCAGGCAGTGCTGTGGGTGCTGCCTGTGGCACGAACCTGGGTGAGGCTGGGTGGAAGGGACATCACCCTTCCTTTGCTCAAAGGGCTGGGTCACCACTCCTGGGTTGAGGGGAGGGGGGGGAGATGACATGTAAGGTGCGGTGTGGAAGAGGGTGGGTGTAAGTCTCTGCTTGTCCTCTGTCCCCCTGTTGTTTCCCACCCTGATGCCCCCTGCCATGGCTTGGTCGTGACTGTGGAGTGGAGCTGTTGGCCCCTGCCCAAAGGGAGAGGGGCAGGAGCCTGTCTCTTCCCTACCTGTTTTGCACAGGTAACCATCCTCACTTGCCTGCACAAAGCACAGGAGCTCTCTCCACCTGCACTGCTGCTGAAGCCTACAAGCTGTAGTAAATGAGTCTCCTTTCCTGGTGCCTCCAGGGCCTTGTGGGGCTTTTTCAACAGAGGGAGATCCTTCATCTTCCTCTCAAATGAAAATCTGTTCCCTTTCTGGCCAAGAAGCCTTCTAGAGCTGAATAGGTTGGAGAGTAGCAACCCTGCTCTTAATTGTGGGGAGCCAGAGCTCCTGTTGCCTGTAGGGTGGATGTGTTTGTGCTGCTTGGCTCAAAGTACCCAGCCTGGGGCTGTTGAGGTTCTCTGAGGGTGGCCAGGCTGCAGGGATCACCTCTCCCCTGGCTGGGCAGAGGCATGCTGGAGGAGAGGTAGAAGATGTTCTCCTGGTGTTGCTAGAGCTACCCAAGAACACAGGCTGTCCCAGGACAGCAGCCAGGACTTTCCATCTTGGTGTAAGCTGCAAATGATCTTCAGGTGGGAGTGAGGGATCTGAGGTGCTGCTGGATCACAGACCCCTTTGGGGCAGAGGACCCAGCTAGCTCTTGTTCCCACCCTCAGGCTCTCCTGGTCTCTCCTCCAAGTTTCCTCTCTGGGGCTCCTCCATCTGCTGGGTCACAGCCTGGGGAACCCCCAGGGGACCCAGCAGGGCCATGTGTGGCCAAGCTGGTCCCCCTCGAGCCTCTGCCTGCCCGTGCCGAGACAAGAGCCGGGGCACAGCATGTTGGTATACATCATACATTTATTAGTGAATATCCCTCTCAAAATCAGCCACAACATTAAAAAAAATAATGATTGCACTACTTGGTCAAGCAGAACTAGCAACTTTCATTTTAAAAAAAGTACAAATCTGTTAAAAATTTCAATCAGTATAATACACATATATATAATACAACATACTAGTTATGTTAAATGCTACAAAACCAATATGATTCCAATGGAATGGAAAAAAAACAAACACTTTTAGAGCTTTAAGAACCTTTTTTTCTATATATTAGCCTTTTTTCAAATACATACATGGGAAAAATGAGGTAACTGTAAAATGTGCAAGTAACAGAGCAAAAAAAATTATATATATA